GAGATTAAATCTAATTAATTAACTAGAAATTTAGTTGACTTGACTGACTTTACTAGTGAACATTCTTAAGACTATTGACATGCGATCAATGATAGTAAATAGTAAAAAAAAGTCTCTTTAGGTTTGGTTTTCCGGTCGTTGCATGTTGAATGATGGATGTTTTACTCGATTTTTTACCCTATATACACAGATTAGTAATGAGATTAAACGATCGAAATAGGCCTTATACTCACTAGAAACACTTCCAAGTTTGAGTCAGAATAAACATATCCGTGCTAGGATATTTTAAATTTCAGAGAAACACCTGTTTTAGGCTGAATTTCGAAAGAAGACTGTTTTCTATGACAAACTAATATTTCATTTTGGATACGTTTGAATTCTATGTTCATCGAACAAAATGCGAAGACTAGAAAACTAAATTAAAACAGAATTTTTTTTTTATATACTCATCATGATGATAATCTCAAATAGTCGACAATGTTCTCACGTTAGTTAGAATTATTTTTTATTTTTAACTATAATAAAAATTATTAACAAATACAAATACTAATGATGAGTGGTTGAACATAACTGAATAATCATTTCATTATTTGGAAACATCACTATTCTGCAATCTCCTGTTTTAAGTAAACAGAATTGTGAATAAATATTCAAATGTAATAACAATGATGTAAAAATATTATATGAACTTGATTCTTCTCGCAAAGTTTCTATTTCTCAAAAACAGATCAATCAATTGAAGTAGTTCTATTACATTCAAGATAAAGTAATACTTAAAAAAAAAATATATACTTCACTCAGTTAAATATTACATGTCCTTGTCTTCAGTTATTGATAACAAATTACTTTGTTCAAATAAACTATACAGTGTGATAGTCTATAAGTTTATTTTCTTCGATTTAATTTCGATAACTAAGCAAATACTATTCGAATTTCAATTTGAAAAGAATTTAAGTGAAAATTTTATTTATCATTTTTCAGAATCTTTACCAAGAACAGCAACTCTTCGAAAATTGAATGATTTAATTAAACGTGCACGATTGGCTAGAGTAATAAAAATTATTATTTCAAAATATTAACTATATATATATATGTATTAAATCATAGGTACATGCATTAATTATCAGTGAATTAAAAGAACAAATGCCAAGTGTATTTGGTAAAGATTCAAAACGTCGAGATTTACTCAATGTAAGATTCTTTTGTTTTGTTAAATATATATTAAGTCTAAATAAATAAATCTTTAAGAATTTACATTTAATTTATGAAAAAATTGAACGTGAACAAAATATTCCAATGGGTGATTTTCCAAAATTAGATCGTATGCAAGAAATATTACGTAATATGGTTCGTTTTGAAAAAACTGCTGTTTTTCTGTTCTAATTTAATTCTTTTTTTTTTTTCTTCTTTCTTTCATTTAGGATTTTACAAAATTTCGACCACTTGATCGAAAAATACTTGAACGTGTAGATAGAATGTTATCTGATGATGTACCAAAATTAATGGGTATGATACCACAAGAAGAACAAGCTTATTTACAATTAAGTTCTCAATCATCGGGTGGACAAATGGCATCAGGAAATACAATATTTAGTGATCAAGACGAAACACCATTTGCAATTGGTGGTGTTGAAGGTATTAATGCTGGTATTGGTGAATGTGAATGGATTGTTGAACGATCAAGACATGAATATGATCAAACATTTCTTCAACTTTCACCACAAAATGGAAAAGTTACGGGTGCATCAGCTAAACAAGAAATGATTAGATCAAAACTTGTAAATTTTATATACAAAAAAAAAATATTTTTTTTATTTTTTTATTTTTCTAGCCAAATAATGTACTTGGTCGTATATGGAAATTAAGTGACATTGATAAAGATGGTATGCTTGATATTGATGAATGGGCTTTATCTCAACATCTTAGTAAGTATTAGATGATTGTATTCAATGTTACTGCATTTATCATAGATTTTATGTTAATCTTGTAAAATAATAGAAATGTCTATGTAGCATTTCTACTTAGAATTTTCCATGAGTACTAATTCTCATATAGTATTATTATGTATTGAAAGTAGGTCGTTTTTTTTTTTTTTATTCAAAACGAAAAGATTTTAGTAAATATCTTACAAGTGTTTAATACTTGTAATGAAAAGAAAAGTTAATTGTTAAATCTAACGATGCATAAAAAGAAAGTGAATAGCAAACAATTCATCTCCTACGTTTCCTTTTTCTTTACAAGCATATGTCTGTCTCGAACAGAGTTAGAATGTCTAACTGTTCTTAACTATCATATATCATAAAAGAAAACCAGCACATAATATTTATGAATCAATCATTAAATGAAACTAATTGCACTTTTTAATATTGAAATGAAGTTTTTTTACATAAAATATTTAATTTTTTCTTTTAGTTAAACTTAAAGTAGATGGTCATGAATTACCAAATGTATTGCCTGATCATCTTATACCACCAAGCAAACGTCATTTAACGAAAAACACTAATAATATGAATCCATCGTATGGAAATAGTGGAGTGTATCCAACACTTGGCAATACTTCTTATAGTGGTTATAATTGATTTCTTTTCTTTTCTTTTTTTTGTGTTGAGAGAATGAATATAAACATAAATGATTTTTTAAATATATAAACAAATCCATTCGATTCTAGTTTTTTTTTAATCATTTTTTTGTAATTCAAATTTCTTTTTGTTTTTTTTTTTTTACTTGTATCTATTTATATTTGGTTGCAAGAATAAAATGAACACATATTCCAGTTATATACATAGACAGATGTTTGAGTAAATATACGAACAATAAAAAAAAAAAAAAGTAAAAATAAAACACATAGACGGATGACAACATTTATTCAATATATCTTTCATTTTTAATGTTATTATATTTCAAGTAACTAGTTAAATATGATATTTAAAGTTAGTTCCGGTAAAACTTTTGTTGATAAAAAAAAAAAAGAAAAAAACTTAGAGATAAAGATAACCAGCTGTAGACATATGCCTCTTTTATGTTCTCTGAGTTGGAAGAAGGAAAAAACAGAAACAGTGATAAGAATTATAACTCATATAAAATTTGACAACAAACATGACAGAACGACAAAATGAATGCTCGTACACCTGTTAGTGACAACGATCAATTATTAACAGAAATACGCAGACTACTCTATTTATCTAAACATTTGACAACACATAGATGGATTTCATTTGATCTCATTTCATTTCTCACTTTTTTCTCTTTATAAAACAAAGAAGACGCTTAGTCTCTCTCTCTCTCTCTCTCTTTCGCCTTTTCTTTTTTTTTTAACTACATTCATATTCTCATTTTTGTGCACTAGGGAAAAAAGTTTTTCTCTCCTCGTCGTCGACATTCTATCATAGACTAACCATCCATCGCTCTCTTGTTTTAACTGTTGAGTACGTGTCACTGTTGTGTAGATATTCTCTCACATTTTTTTAAAGACATCATAGAAAAATGAGAGAAAGAAAAAAAAGTGAGAATAATAGACTAGATAGAATCAATGTCAAATTCATTTATTTAAAAGAAACAAAATGAAGTAGATAAAACCAATTGAAATAAAATTGAGTAAGTTTATTTATTTATATTAGTTTAATATATTACTAAATTGTTTGAAGATTTGAATACATCTTGTCAATGTAAGTACCTATATGCAAGTAAAGATATAAGAAGAAAAGAAGAAGAAAAAAAAAACGCGTTCAGAATGAAGATTAGACTCTCACACTAAGAAGAAGCCGTAAGAAAGAATGAGAAGAAAGAAGAGTGAAACGCTTGGTTCCCGTCATCGTTCACTAGAGCAAAGGGAAAAAAACGTCACATAAAAAAAGAAAGAAAAGAAAACGAAGACGAGTATTGATGATGAACTTTACACAGTACGATTATCGTGTTATACGACGGTTAGAAACAAACGAATAATAAGAAGAAAAAAAAAATCTTTTCTTTTCCCAACATAGTTTTTTTTTTCATAGTTGAACACTTTTTCATTTCAAGTAAGTGGAAAAAAAAACATAAGTTAATTATATGAATGTGCGCATGTAAAAAAGGAAATGAAGATAAACGCGATTCAGCCGTGACAATACTGACTATTTCTTTTTTATTAGATTGTTCTACCGTCTATCCAACTACCATCAGTAATGATTAATGACGAGTTAGTTTAAAAAGATGAAAATTTGCATAAATTCTACTTTTTCTTTCTCTCATTTTCTTTTCCACATATACACATATTTCACTCTCGGTAACAAGCTGCTGTGGAGTCTCAATCAGCATCATTAACGTCTTTTCTCATGGGAGTAATGATAAGAAAATAAACTTACTTTATACGATTTAAATGTAAGCCAATGGTTTTATTTTAGTTCTAATAAAATGACGTTCATTTGGAAGACCTTTGATTTAGTGTTCTGAATATATAATAATTAACACTAAGTTCAATGTCTTCTACCTTTTACGTCTAATTATTCGACGATAATAAAATTTTTTTTTTTGGAATTTATTTATTATCAAACTTCTATTAAATATCCTATTGAAGATATTTAATATAATAAAATAATCGACATCAATGATTTATTAAAGTTAATAAAAAAAGAAAAAGTAAAATTTTAGCTAAAAAACAAAATATTTCATGATCAAGTATTTCCATTTCAAAATGATCTTGATGTTCAATGAGTCGATATATATAATTTTAAATCAAATAAATACTTCATCAATAACGACTCTCTCTCGTTTAAGTTCTTTTTTTTTTTTGTACAAAAATTTTAATCGGCACCGTTTTGTTCTCTTCTTTTTAGCGACAAAAAAAAAGGGGGGGACAGAAATAACTTTCGATCTGTTCTGTCATTTTGATGTTATTGTTGCCATAGAAGAAGTTTTTTTTTTTTTTTTTTTATTATATCGATCACTTTTTTTCTTTTTTTACTTCATGTGTATATGCATGTCATAACAAAAATCATTCACATCTATATATTTCATTTTAAAAAATGGATGATGATCTGACAGGTAAAGAATAAAATATGACTAAATAAATCTATTATTGTACGAGTTATAGAATATCCTACACATCGAGTACGTTTACAACCATGTCAATTTTGTGAACGTCAATTTAATGTTGAATCATTGGTAAGAATATGAAATATTATTATTTATTCAAATGTTCAATAGTAGAAAGAAAATGATTGAATTTTCTATTTTTATCCTATAGAAATTTTACGATAGATCATTGAAAATAAAATAATAATAATAATAATAAATGAAATATGAATTTTTGTTTTTTTGTTTTTATATATTTTTCGATCATAGAATAAACATCAAGCTATTTGTCGAAAAGTTGTAAAGAAAGAACGAAGAGTATTTGATGCAGGTAAACAACGAGCTACTAATTCTGATGTACCATATAAAGCAACTAAAAGAACAGCACAGGTAAAAAATTTTATTTTTATTTTACTATTGTCAACATCTATATTTTACACATTAGGTTTATAATGGTGAAGTTCGAGCTAATGATGATAGAGTAAGAATAAAGAAGTAATTGTTGATGTTTTATCTTGTTAAAAATTATAGTCAAAATATGGATCGAAACCAAATTGGAGAGAAAAACATAGACAATTAATTCAATCTGTACGAGAAGCTCGTTCTGTGACTCGTGCTATGAAACAAGGAGGACCATTACCTGCTTTTCGACCAAGTGAAATTCCATCAGGTTAATTAATGTTATTCTTTTTCTTTTCTCTATATTATTATATTATTTATTAAGACTATGTTAATTGTCCACATTGCCATCGTAATTTTAATAAACATGCTGCTCAACGACATATACCATTGTAATAGGAATAATTTTTATCTTCATAGAAACATACATATTTATTTAGTTGTCAGACGCAACGTGAACGAAAACAAGTGCAACCTTCTAAACCTACTCAGCAATATGACAGGGTAGAGTTAATATTTATTAAATAAATAAATAAATATACTGAAAACGTTTTCCTATAGGGACGATCACTTTCACCACAAAAACCACCTCAACATCGACAACAACAGTCATATAGTACAAGTGCATATTCAGATTCACATAATGTTTATAGTAATGGTTACAAACATAGCAATTCAGCTCCGATGATTGTTCGACGAAATCCATATGAGTAAGCTTGTTAAACAAATGTTTTTTTTTATTTAAATTTTATTTTAATATTCTAGTCATCAACAACAACAACAACAACAACAACCACCACCACCACGTAAAGCACCTGGTGGTGGTGGTTGGAGTTTACGAAAAATATTTGGTTTCGATTCTGGAGCAGAACCAATGCCTCGATCTAATTATTATGCACCTGAAGTAAATTATTTTTCTATATTAAAAAGAAAAAAAATAAAAAAGAACATTTTTTATACAATAAGGATGAAGATTATTATCAACCATCGAATCGTCATAATATTCAACAACCGGTGCTTATGCGTACGGGACGTACAAATCAGAATACAAGTTTAAATGTACGTGCTCGTCAACGAAATGATGAAGTTAATTCATATGTACGCCGAGCATCACCGATTAAATTTGCTCCTTCTTCATATGGTGAAACAAGATATCAACATCCAAATAGTCAATATAATTCTATGAGACCAACAGCTGTTGGACGACCCCCACTACCACCAACAGCTATTCGATGTGGTGAATGTGGTAATATATTTAATATTGCATCAGCAAGATATTGTGCTCATTGTGGTTCGAGACGTTAAATATTGAAGAATATTTTTATGAAATAAATTTTATTTCGAAATAAAAATTTTATAAAGAATCATATTTAACTTTTACATACGAATCTTTTCTTTGTTAACAAATGAAATAATTATTCAACAATTTTTCTAATCAAATGAAAATGGTAGTTCATTAAATAAATCTTGATCGATTTGAATTAATTTTTGTTCAATTATTTGTAATTCATTATTATCAATAATATTATCATCTTGAGAAATATTAAATAATTGAGAAATTTTTTCATATTCATCTTCATTTATTATTATTACTTGTTGTACTATTTTTCTAAAAGCCATACAATATAAATTTTTTACTTTAATATATGATATTAAAGAAAAACCAATTGAATTAAGAGCTTCTCGCCAAGATTTTTGTCGATTTTCACGTAAAATTGAATCAGGTTCGACAATAAGTAATAAACCAAGACAAGTTAAAAGTTGATGAGCTATAAGACAAGCTGATAAACGTTGACGACATGTTGGTAAATAATCGAGAACAAGTGAAAATATAATAGCATCAAATGAATGAATAGATATTAATGGTGGTTGTGGAAGACGTAAAAAATCAATACGATGTACTGACTAAACTCATCTGAGAGTGAATTTTATAATTTCAAAAAACAAAAAGAAAACAATATTAAACTCACTTCATCGGCTGGTGCAATATCAATTGCTATTGTTTCCAGATCGTTAAAACTAGAAAATGCATTGTAACAACTCCTATATAAAATTTAAAAACAAAAAGAATAGTTTAATAAATTGAGAAAAAAAATATTTTAGCCTTAACCCAACATCAAGTACACGTGGTCTAGTAATTCTTTGTCTTAAGATAAGATAAAAATAATAAGAATAACATAATATTAATATAATAATCCTACTGAATTCTTGTTTGACAACTTTCACAAATATCTGTATGAATCTGTTTTCGTTTATCTCGAGCACATTTTCTTTCAAGACCACTTATTTCATTTCCATTAAAATAATCTTTAATAGTTTCATAACACCATGTCAAACGTGTTTGACCATGAGATTTTTCTGCCCAATGATGTTCAGCAAGTTGACGCATTGATTTAGCATATTCATTTAATTTATCTATATTAGCTACATGAGTATTCCAGATTGTTTCAGCAGCTTCTGGTGCTAATAATAAAATAATAGATTCTCAAATTTAATATTATAATTCATACTTTGATTTACATCATGACGTAATTGTTGATGTACTTTTTTAATTGAATCAGCAAGATTCAATTGTTCGGAAGACATTTTTTTTTTAAGAATCAGATCTAATAATTAAACAAAAAGAAACTTATACTTCTATATTTTATTTATTGCTTTGAAAACAAGTGAAAAAAAAGAAAAAAAAACTATGGTAATGTAACATCAAACAATGAAGTATGACGTATATCAAAATTATCCTTATTAAAATCTGTAATTGGTGTCCATGAATGAAAAGTAACAGTCATGCTTGGTTGAAACATATGAAATCCATTTCGTGAAAAATAACCAGTTACATTAGCTGATATATCAAGCCATACAAATAAAGCTGGTCGATCAACAGTAATTGTTATATTAAAATCTGTTGGTCCGATCTGTTTAATACTTTCAATTTGAAGATTAGGATTTAATAATTGATAATTTTTTGGTCGATTTAAAAATAAAGTTTGTCCTATTTGATGTTGATTATAATTTAATAAACAATGAATTATACATGGAGAATTATCTTGACAATCAACACGTTTCATTAATAATGAATAAGAATAATTCATAGTATTTTGTACACCAAGTGAATTAAATAAAATATTATTTCCAAATGATAAACGAGGAGACAATGTATCTAACGCATAAATCGAACATAATAAATCACCACGTGTATTATTGAGTAATTCATTAACAACATAAAATGAAACTTGAGCATTTTCATCTGTAACATTAGCTAAATAAGGTGTAAGCGTAGCAATAGGATAAACAGGTGCATACATATGACCAACATAATAATGACTCATTTTCCATTTTAATCCATATTCAATTGTTGCCCATGTTGGTGCTTGCCAAATATCATTTATTTGCCAATACATTAAGCCCATGGTATGACTAGAAAAAAAACAACAAAGAATAAAACATTTGTAGAAATAAAGGAAGTGGTATTTATACCCCCCCCGCAAATTTTTTTTCGCACAAATATTTTTTGGTTGTGAACAATATGAAGATATAAAATTACCCAACCAGATCTTGAACATTTTTAGACTTAGCAAAAAAAATCAATATTTTAGAGAACGGTCATTTATATAGGAAGTATTTAGAGGTTTCTGTAGTCGAAAGTTGATTTTCATGTAAAATGAGTATGATATTCAGAATCAGCATGAAAAATTACACTAGACAGTCTATTTTTCATTGTAAAATATTTTCCATGAAAATTCGACCCGTAGGAGACCAGGGGGAAAAATCTCATGGATAAAAGGTTGAGGGGGAGTAGGGGTCAGATTTCCATGGAAAATATTTTACAATGAAAAATGGACTGTCTAATGTAATTTTTCATGCTGATTCTGAATACCATACTCATTTTACATAAAAACCAACTTTCGACTACAGAAACCTCTAAATACTCCCTATTTTCTAGTACTTTCCCATATAAATGACTGTTCTCTAAAGTATTGAGTTTTTTTGCTAAGTTTAAAAATTTCCAAGGTCTGGTTGGGTAATTTTACATCTTCATACTGCTCATAACCAAAAAATATTTGTGCGAAAAAAAACCTACGAGGAGGGGGAGGGGGGTATAAGCACCACTTCCTTTACCCTTGACTTGTTTTTGGATTAATCATATCTATTGATGAATGAAGTCGACAAAGATCACTTATACTTTTTAATGTCATAGCTTGATTTATTTGACTTAAATAAATTAATTGAGCAAAATTTCTCAATGAATCATTTGTTACTGGTAATGGTAAATTACTTTCAATATGTTTCCTAGAAAATTAAAAACAAAAAAAGAAAAAAAGAAATCAAAATAAATTTTCTTGATTAAATCAAAATAACAAACATCATTGCAGTTAATTGATTTTCTGAATGTTCACGATGTAAAATAAATGAACTATTAAAATTTAAATCCGATGAATTCATTGTCGTTTCATACCATGTATCTAAACTTGGTAATGATTGAATACCTGTTTCAGATAGAAAACGAGTTATTGGATATGTTGTTGGATCCCATGAATCATCTTGATATCCATAAAAATGAACATCACCTAAAATATTCGTTTTAAGAAAAAAAAAAAATAAAGCAAACTTTATTCTATTTTTATAATCTATACCATAAAGTGGATCTTGAGGATCTTTAGCAATATAATTTTCAACTATTGTTTCAAGACCATTTGATGGTGATGAAGTAACAAATGGTCGATTATTTCCTTTATCAACTTGTTTAACAGCATTCATAATTGTATCAACATATAATTTTCTATAATCATCTTTTGTTTTATTCATTTTTTCTACTGGTACACTATACCAATTTTGTGCAACAGCAGCTTCATTTTCATTATTACCTGACCAAAGTGCAATAGATGGATGATGTTGAAGTCGTTTAACTTGATAAATAATTTCATCATGAACATTTGTTAAAAATGATTCATCAACAGGATAACTAAATTTTTAAATATAAGAAAAAAAAAACAAACAAATAATTTAAATAAACTTACAGACTACAAGCAAACATAAAATCATGCCATAACATTATACCTAAACGATCAGCTATTTCATAAAATGAATCACGTTCATATATTCCACCACCCCATATACGTAACATATTCATATTAGATAATTGAGCTGAACGAAGTAAACGTTCAAGTTTTTCATCACTAACACGTTCTTGAAATGAATCTGGTGGTATCCAATTACTACCTTTTATAAATATAGGTTGAAAATTAATAGCAAAATAAAATGATGATCCATTTATTCCTGTTCCATAGTCATGTTGAATAAGTTGAACTGTACGAAAACCAATTAAACGTGAACCAATTATATTGTCTTCATTTGATATAACTAAAGTATATAATGGTTGATCACCATATCCATTTGGCCACCAATGTAATACATGTTCATCTGGTATTGTTAAAAATATTGATAGATTATGATTAAGTATTACTGTAGTTTCATATGACCATGTTGTATCTTGTAATATAAATTTGAATTTACTTGTAAATTGATCATTATTACTACTCAACATAACATCAACTTGCCAAGTTTTATCTACTGCATTATATGAAGCAAGATTAACACTTTCAAGTTCAATAATTATATCTGTTGTATTTACACCTTCAAGATATATATTACCTGGAATACCAATTGGAGCAAAAGCTGGACCCTAGAATAGAAAAATATATTCAAAAATAAATAAATAATTGCTAGTAATAAATACAAATCATGTCTTTAACAATGAATATTAACATATCTATCGGATAATTTAGTAACAGCTAATAATCATTGAACTTCATCTCAAATTTGCTTGTCACGGTTTGTGCACTTTTTTTTTTAATGTATTTAATAAAGTAATTGAAAAGGTCATTTAAAATTTCATCCTATTACGGTCATATAAATATAACTTAGATACAAAAAAAATATAATACTGATAAGAACCGATAAGCAAGTAAGAATCGAAATGAAGAAAGAATCAAATAGACAATGAAAGATGTAATTACAATCTATTAATAGATAAGATTGTATCCAGTCAGAATGATTAAAAAAAATCATTTTTCAACTTTCAATGCAAAAAAATCATGACAAGCAGACGGATAAATCCAATCTCTAATTCATCTTTAAATATATTGACAAATGACTACAAATTTAATACCAGAGAAGTCCCACAACAGATTAATTACTTTTGATTCTGGATATTTTAAAAAGAATTTGAGTCCTTAACTTATTGCTGTGTATACAGTAGTTTTTAAATGAATATCGTAGTTACCTTCAAGAAAAAACTCATTTTCGAA